GCCTCACTTTCCAGCACCAGCACTCCAGACTCGCGCACTTCCCTCACTGTCCAGCGTTGATGTGACAGCCCCACGTCCAGCCCATCCCTTTTCGGCCTCCGTATTTACACCTCCTGCCCCTGACTAAGCGCTGCAGGAGCTCCTCCCGCCCTCTGCTCCTGCCTCTGCCTGTATCGATGTATGTCCCGCAGCTGGGCCACCTGCAGGTTCTCCATATCCGCTGGCAGCAGCTGCCCCATAGTTGCCTCGAGCCGCCCACTTCTCAGGTGTTCCTGCGGTGATCACGTTTGTCAGCACCCTTGGTGCCCCCACTGGCAGTGTCGGCTCTCTTCCAAAAAGCAGGTGATAAGGAGAAAGATCCTTCAAAGCCGCTTGTTTGCTAAACCGGTAGCCCGCCATCACCCAGTGCAGCTGCTTGTCCCAATCCCTCTTTCTCTCTTCTTCGTACACCCTCAGCCCTTTCGTCAAGGTCTGAATCAGCCTCTCAGTCAGTCCGTCGCTCTGGGGATGATACCGTGAGGTCGTGCGGTGCGGAATCAGGCAGCTTCGCAGCAGCTCCTCAAACTCTCCCTGGAACTCAGTCCCTTGATCCGTCAGCACCTCTCCACACGCCCCAAATCGTGTTAGCACTTGTTCTTCGAATGCGTGCGCCACTGCCAGGGCTGTCTTGCTGGGTAACGCCCGCACCTCCACCCACTTGCTGACATGCTCTATCATTACCACCACATACTTCCGTCCTCTCTTGGTCAGCGGTAACTCCCCCGTCAGGTCGATTGACCAGCGGTATCCCAGGCCCACTATCTGCAATGGGCGTAACTCTGCCTGGCTTCGTTCAAACGCTGCTCTGTTCTGAATGCAGGCTTGATACCTTGCCACCCAGTCCTTCACCTCCTTCCTCATTCCTGCCCACCACCTGCCCGTTTGCAGCAACTGCTGTGTTCTCAGGGGGCCATAATGCCCTAGCTTGTTGTGCACTTCCTGTATGATGGCCTCCCTTTCCTTAGGCTCTGGTACGCTCTTCCATCCATCCTTAGTCTTAATCTGCACCTGCTCTTGGTACCACCTGTAATGCTGCCCCCTGCTCCTTGCCCTTGCCGACACCACCGCTCCTTCGGCCGTCTGGCCCATCAGCCAAGACATGGTCTCCTGATCCTCCCATATGTCTGGAGCTCCTGCCTGCTGCTCCCTTTTCAGTGGCGTCGCCGGATCCGGCGCTATCGCCATCAGCGCCATCTCAGGGTCCCGCTCGGTGAGTTGCGTGATAACCCATCCACATGCTGCATGGTCTTTCCCGGGCGATGTCGAATGGTGAACTGGTACTCTTGCAGCTTCATGACCCAGCATGCATTGCGCCCCGTGAGAGTCTGATTCTGCATGAGCCACAGCAGCGGCTGATGGTCTGTGACCAGCGTGAACGGGCGCCCTTCCAGGTACACCCTGAAGTGCCCCACTGCCCAAACGACCGCCAGCCCTTCCCCTTCATAGGATGAGTAATTGACTTCCGCCGGATTGCATGTCCTGCTGGCGAAGGCTACCACCTTCTCCTCCCCCTCATGCTCCTGGCTCAGCACAGCCCCCATTCCTACACTGCTCCAGTCAGTGTACAGTACGAACAGCAGATCTGCCCTAGGCAGTTGCAGCACAGCTCCCTGCTTCACGACCTCTAGCAGGTCCTTCAAGGCCTCCTTCTGGGGCTCTCCCCACTGCCATATCTGCTCCCCCCGCAGTAGCTTGTTCAGCGGAGCCGCTCGCCTACTGAAGCTCTCCACAAATTTCTTGTAGTAGTTCAGGAAACCCAGGATTGCTCTCAGGCTGATCTTATCCTTTGGCGGGGCCATTTGATCCAGCACCTCCACCTTCGCCCTTTGTATCGACATCCTCCCGCCTGACACCTCGAACCCCAGGTAGCTGACTGCCACATGACCGAACCGGCACTTCTTAGGGTGGCACGTTAGTCCCGCCTTTTGTATCCTGCCTAGCACCTCTGCTAGCCTCCCCACATGTTCCTCCGCCGTGGCGCTGAACACAATCACGTCGTCAATGTAACACAGCGCCTCTTCCATTCCCTGCAGCACCTCGTCCATCACCTTCTGGAAAAGTAGCGAAGCATTCTTAAGCCCGAACGGCATGCGATTCCACTCGTATGTCCCGTCATGCCCATGGAAGGCTGTCTTTGCCCTATCCTCCTCGACTATCGGGATCTGGTTAAACTCTTGCCTCATGTCCAGCGTTGAAAACACCCTTGCCCCCGCCAACTGGTCAAAGAGCTCATCCACTACGGGAGTTGAGTATCGCTCCGGGATCGTGACCTTATTCAGGTCCCTATAATCCCCACACATCCTCCTTGTCAGCACCGCCCCGGTGAGATCCATCCTTGCCGCTACCACCGTCGCCGCCGCATAGCTTGATTCCGAGCGCCTTATCAGTCCGGCCTCCAGCAGCTCGAGGCACTTCTCTCTGCAGACGGTGAGATCCTGCGGGCTCATCCTTCTCCTCCTTTGATATACTGGTACGGTGGTGGTCAGATTCAATGACATGGTGGCGCAGTTGCAACATTCCAGGTCCTTGAGCGTGTATGCAAACGTTGTTCGGTGATGTGCCAGCAGTTCCTTCACTGCCTCTCGGTCTTGTCCTTGCAAGCCTTCCCCTAGGTCCCATGCCAGCTCCGCTTCTTCCGGCTCCCGCACTGCGACCGCTTCTCCTCCTGCGGGTTCTGGCCCCGTCACCTCTTGTTCACCTCCTGCTGGGGCTGCATCTAGCACCATATATGCCCTCTCTCCCGGAGACCAATCTGGCGGATCCACGCCATCGTCTCCCATATCGAAATCTGAGTCCTGGAATTCCTCCGGCGTTTCAGCAGATCCTTCTCCTTCATGCTCTTCCATCTCCTCCTGCCCCCCTTCCACTTCCTCCTATTCTGGCGGGTCTGCATATCTGCCCGGTATGCCTTCTCGGTCGTCCCTCCAGCTCCCCAGCCTGCGTTCCCCCTGCCAGTCCCCGTGCCCACTGCCGTTCCTCCTTCTCCTCCAGCCCCTCCAGCATAGTCTTGGCCTCCATTTCTTTGTCCGCCGCAATCCTTGTCTGTGGTCGAATCTGTGTCGTCTTACTTATCCTGCGCTCCAACCATTTCCTCTCCAAGTGGGTGGTCATGACGGTGACCAGCCAGTGCAGGGCGTTAAGATCCATGGTTCGTCCTAGCGCTGCTCGCCTCTCCTTCTCGGTCATTTGCGGGCACGCGGTTGCCCCTGCCATGAATCCCATAGCCAACTCCCGTTCTTGCGCCGTTGGCTCCTCCCAGTCTCCTCTGGTCATGTCAAATACCATGCCAGGGCCCGCCACCTCTCCTATCTTCTTGAAGCCGTATCCTCTGCAGAGTGGGCCACGCCTGCCGTGGCTCATGCACCTTGTTGCAGGGATACTGCCCCGGGTGGTCTGGATGCGTCACCGGAGCAGGAATCCTCCCTGGCTCCAGAATATCCGCCACCAGTCTTGCCTTCGGTCGCTCCATCCGTGACAGCTGATAGCGCAGTGCTCCCTCTGGGATCACATTCTGCCAGTACCTCCTGGGTCGGTGCGCCCTGCTCCCGTTTTGCGCCGCATCCCATGCCACTCCTGCCCCCAGCTCTTGGGTGATCTCCTCATTTGCAGCCCGCACTGCCGATCTCAGACCTCGGACATGTCCACGTTTTCTATGATGTAGCCCGGAATTGGCTTCCCCGTGGATCTTCCATGCCTCCTCCTCTTCCCGCCCTGGAGTATACCTGACAGCCCCACCCGGCTATTACCAGGTCAATCTTGCCCCACTCGGCAATCACCTCTTCGTTGATCTCCTCCACTCCTCGGCACAGCCATTCTGCTCCTCTTTCTGCCGCCCCATGCATGAGTTGTTCCTAGTACCGCTCCCGTAGTATCTTGATGTGCTGCCAGGCCATCAGGTTCGCCTTGTCATCGTTGTCCACATAGAGGTAGGTGCTCACGACATGCTCGGCTTTCAGCACTGCTGCCAACCCTGTTGCTATCCCACCGTATAGCTCCAGCACCACCAGGGGTTTCTGGAACGCCTTCACGTTCAGCTGCAGTTCCTTCAAGTTGTCTCTAGCACCCCAGATTTCTTCGTACTGCTTTCTTGCTGCCACCATCTGATCCATCTCCTTCCATGATAGTACCCCCAACTCCTCCTCCAGCGGCCGCTCCACCGCCTGGTACGCCTCTCGAGGCTCCCGCCTGATGAAGCGCACCGGCAGCTCAACCATCGTGGCGCCACGCTCCCAATAGGTCACCCGGTACAGTAGTTTCTCCTCCCACATGTAGATGGTCGTTCCGATGGCGTAGAGGTACTGCACTCCCAGCAACAGGTCATAGTCCTCGGATGACGGCACCCCGCAAATCATCCTGACCGCGCACTCCTCCCTCTGTCCGGGCTGAATGACAATCTCCACCGTACCCCGAGTTCTCGGCATCCACTTTGCCTCCCCTCCGTCGGCCGTCATGAGCAGGTAGCCTTCCTGCACCAACCTTTCTTCTCGGACCAGCCCCAGTAGCCTCGCCAAGGCTGCTCCGATGATTACGTTATGGGGCCCCATGTCCAAGATGGCTTGCTTAACTATGACCCCTCCCACCGTCATCACATCCTTTTCCACAACCAACACCGAAGGCTGGCAAGCCATTCTCTCCAGTGGATGCCTCCGCGACATGCCCGTCTCAAGCTCCACGGCTGTTCCCCGCCTCGGGCCCTGTTCCCTCCGCGGCGTCGCCTGCGGGAGTAGCGCTGCCTCGCCCGTAGGCCCAGCTCATCCCTCTCCCTTGCCGGTCGTGCCATTAGCACGAAGCTCGCCTCACTGTCATCGTCATCCTCCTTTTCAGCCTTGTCCAGCATCGCTGTGCCCCCGGGTTCCGTCTCTTCCAGTTCCTGCATCTGTAGCTGCGCAATTTCTGCCCTCATGCAGGCAGGGACTTTTTGCCGCCGCCCTTCCCGCGGCGTGGAATAGCAGTCCTTCTCCTCATGCCCCCTTCGTCCACACCGCCCACATGTAGGTGCTTCCGGGCAGTCCCTCCGCATATGATCCTCGCCGCCACAGGTCGAGCACACTGGCGGGTTCCGACACTCCCTCCTTAGGTGCCCGGTCTGCCCGCAATTGTGACAGCGCCTCTCCTCCCCTCCTCTCCGCGGTGGCCGCTCGCGGTCCGCCGGTGTTCCCGCCCATGCTGGCTCGCGGTCGTTCTCCCCTGCGTTCTGTGTTCGTCTCAATCTCATGCATTCGTCGCCCTGTTTCCACCCGTTTCACAATCTCGTACGCCTCCTTTAGCGTAGCCCGTGCTCCCATGTCAAAAATCTGCACCGACACGTCACGGCGAAGCTCATGATGAAGACTGTTCATGAACTTGCTAATCAGCCGACTCTGATCGTGCCACCCCATGTCTTCAACCAGCTCCACCAGCCGTCCGTAGTAAGCCAGGAGAGACTCCCCGGTCCTGCGCCGAAACTCCCGAAATTCGGACACGCATTCCGGCGTCTGGGCAGGGAACTGCTCCTCTAGCATTCCCAGAAAGCGCGTCGTCGGATCCCTTTCCCCCGGCGCTGCTCTCGCGGCCCACTCCAGCAACTCCCGTCGGCTGATGCGGTAGAACGTCTCGGAAGAATTAGCTAGGCCTCGGAAGAATTCTTCTGGATCCAGTCGATCCCTCTCCCAACGAGCCCTCAGATTCTCCAACTGCATCACATAGTTCCTGATGCTCGGTCCTCGCCGCGTGTCTCCCGAGAACCTCTCCGGCACCTCGATCTTCGGCAGCAACGTGTATTTCCATCGATGCATCGACGCCTCTTCCTGCCACGAGGCGCTGCGCTGATACGTCCCCGACGTTGGGCCCTCGGGACCACTCTGCATCGGTCGTTCTTCCGATCGCGAGCTTCCCTTCCCCGCCCCTGTCGGACCCGATCCTCCCAGTGCTGGCTCCCGTCGCTCTCGCCCTGCGTCCTCCTGCCTGGGCGAATCCGGGCCGCGGCCTTCGTTATCCTGCGTGTTCGTCCCTTGGTCCATTCCGTCAGCCTCCTTCTCCGTCCTTTTATTTTGTCGACCCTCTGTCGTTTCTAGCTCGTATTCGGTTCCTCCCCGTGTCCACATCTACACCATGAATGTTTGTATGTGATAAGCCGCCTAGCTTATTCACATTCCACTAAGCGCTTACATCCCTAGCTTCCTTCCAGGCCCTCAGATATCAGGATAATTTATCCTGATTCTCCTGAATTCAGGATAGGTGTCGTGTGCTTCTCCTGAAAAAACAGCATAAGGGAATTACTTGTCCTTTAAAATCAGTATTATGGTTATTTTGCGTACTGGAAACTCAGGATAACGCTGTAGTTTCAGCCCTGACGACTCAGGATAGTGTCGAGTCTCTCCCTGAAGCGAGATGTACTGCACGAAAAATCTCCTGGGTTTCGGGGACTAAAACATATACGGGTGAGAACCTCAGTAAATCGAGCCAGTAGGAATCGAGCTAACCATCTATTGTATGACGACTAACACTTCACCCACTCCGCCACTTCGTGCTGTGCAGTATTGTATCAATATTTTCCCATGCATTTGCGCGCGACCTCCACTGCCAGCCATTTGCATTGCAGGTGCGCCACAGCATTAGACACTTCGAATGTGGAGACATTTCCAGCATTTCTATCCCCGCTAACATAACACTCGCAAAATACACAGTCTTGTATGAAATGTAGCACTGACCTGCCAGGATACGGTCAAATGTAGCACTGACATTTTAGGATACCTCACATTGTGCAGCCCTGACAATTCAGGGCAAATTCGGATTTCCCATAAAACTGCCCTGAGGCCTCAGTGTACCCCCAAACGAATCTGAGGGCCTGCTTCCTTCCTACTTGTTATGGCTTGTGAACTCACGAGATCTGGAAAGTTTCACATGAGAATAGCACAGAACATACAAACATTGCAGAATTGATTGCCCGTACCCCCTATAACGGTCCTAGTCCCACCCCCTTGGCTATTCCGCAAGATTACCCTGTAGGTGATGGTCTCTTCTCCTCGGTGAAGAGGAGAAGAGACCCTTGGCTAGTCCCAGCCTACCCTCCGCTTCCCACTGTCACTTAGCCAACCATCTGCCATTCCTCCAGCTTGCTCCTGTGTTCCAGCTGGCTCGGGCATCCAACCTGCAGGAAAACGAACATGCATTCGCACACACAGGCACACGAAACGGCAAAAGCAGCGACATCCAGCTAGCAGCTTGACTTCCCGCCCTCTTGACTTCCCACTTGCCCGTCACTTCAGCCGACGCCCCCTTCCGCACCGATGCCATCTCCGCTGCTGCTGGCTTCCCGCTTAATATAAAAATGTACAGTATGTACACTTCCGTTCCTCCTTCCATATCTTACGACACCTCCCACGGCCCCACGGTCTCCCGCGGCCCCGCGGTCTCGAGGTCAGCTCCGCCCAAGCGAGGACGGGGCCACACACTACTCCCGTTGACATCGTTTGACTTGGTTCGTGCTGCCAGCCCTACTGTCACGCGTCTCCTAGCCACTGTTGTCACTGACCCTTCGTTTGAGTCCACTGCTGCGTCTGCCTTAGTTGCTGAGCTTGTGGACTTTGCTGCTGCGTGTCGTCTCGACTACGCTGCTAGTCTTGTTGCTGAGTCTGAGTCTGACTGTCCTCCGTCCGTCGGGGGTGAGTGTGCTCTTGGCACGGACGTCTTTGAGGACAGGCAGGAGGACTTTGAGTGTCTTGCAGGTGCTGTACCTCATCTCGTGGTAAGCTCCTTGCACCTGAGGGAGACCCGGATGCACTAGACATCCCGACCCCACACTCTTACGCAGAGGTGATCACGGGTCCCTTCTCCTCTCAGTGGCAGACAGCCATGGACGCAGAGATGGCATCCTAGAAGTCCACAGGCACTTACGTCGACGCAGTTCCCCCTCCTAGGGCGAACATAGTCGATGACATGTGGATTTTCAGGGTGAAGCGGCCGCCGGGTTCTCCGCCTGTCTTCAAGGCTCGTTACGTTGCACGAGGCTTCAATCAGCGACAGGGAATTGACTTCTTCCAGACCTTCTCCCCACCCCGAAGATGGCCACTCTTCGGGTGCTGCTGCACGTTGCCGCTCAGCGTGACTAGGAGCTTCACTCTCTTGACTTCAGCACAACTTTCTTACAGGGCAGCCTGCACGAGGAGATCTGGCTGCGTCGCCCACCTGGCTTCACTGGGTCGTTTCCTGCAGGTACCCAGTGGAGCCTCCGGCGGCCAGTCTACGGTCTCCGCCAGGCGCTTCGTGAGTGGCACGTTACACTGAGGATGACACTTGCGGCTCTTGGGTTTACTCCTTCGTCTGCACACCCGTCGCTGTTTCTGCGCACCGACACTTCGCTGCTGCCGTTCTACATCCTCGTGTACGTCGACGACTTGGTCTTTGCCACTGCTGACACTGAGGCACTCGCCCTTGTGAAGTTGGAGCTGCAGAAGAGACACACGTGCACAAACCTGGGTGAGCTGCGCAGCTATCTTGGCTTGCAGATCACTCGGGACAGAGCACGGTGCACCATCACCCTGACTCAGCCATACTTGGTGCAGCAGGTCCTTCAGCGCTTCGGCTTCACTTGGTCCTCGCCATAGTCCACTCCTCTGGCTACTGGTCACTCGCTCTCAGCTCCACCTTTGGACGAGTCCGTAGAGCCGAGTGGCCCGTATTCAGAGCTTGTGAGCTGCCTCATGTACCTGATGACCTGCACTCGACCTGACCTTGCGTACCCTCTTAGCATCCTGGCACGCTACATGGCTCCCACTAGACTCTGAGAGGTGCACTGGGATGCTGCAAAGAGGGTATTGCGTTACTTGTGCAGTTCATCGGGCATGGGACATGGGGCTCGTCCTTGGAGGACGGAGTCAAGTTGTCCTCAATGGACACTCAGACGCGTCTTGGTCTATTTCTTGGCGGTCTACCCGCTCGTCTTCTGTTCTCAGCTCCATTTGTGAGGCTGAGATCTACGCTGGAGCCATGGCTGCACAGGAGTTACGCTGGCTCACCTACCTGCTGACCGACTTGGGAGAGCGACCTCGTTCTCCTCCAGTTCTGTACGTAGACAGCAATGCCGCTATTGCCTTGTGTTAGGAGCACAGACTGGAGCACAGAACGAAGCACATCGCTCTGCGTTACTTCCTTGCTCGAGATAGCTTCGCCGGTACCACGCTGTCGCAACACAGCACTAGCCTTGCATCCCATGCCGTGCGCTCTCCTTTTCCTCTTAACCCCCGAAGCTCCACCTTTCTGCCCATCTTACCATAGATTTCCCAGAGACATCTCTGCCCGCTTGGAATCCTAGTACACACCACCGACGATTTTGCAGCAACCTCCTCAGCCGTCAGAGGCGCCAAGACCCACTGACGCCACCGCTCCGGTGCCGCGTTGAACACCTTCAGTGCCATCTCCGCCTCCTTTTCCCACTCAGCTCCCTAGCAAGTGTCACTTCCGGCTTAAGTGTCCTTGTGCCATCCCACTTCCTCAGTACCATGTCGCGCATCTTCCACGTTCTCAGTTTCTGCGTACCCTTCTGCCCACCGAACGGGGCGTTTCCGCGATGGATGATATGCTTGTTGTAGCACTGAAATTCCTCTACTGCTTCCCACCTCGAAGTCACCTCTGGTACTGCCACCACTGTGGATTTTAAGATTGTTTTACACAGCCTTGCCCACCTCCTGCTTTTGAACAAGCCTCCTCTCAGCACTTCCTTATACGCATATAGCGTCGCCCATCAGAGAGGTAGGCCCGCCGCTCTCTCCGACAAACCCTGCCTTAGCTGGTACTCCTGCTGCAGCGCCAAACTCGCGCATCTCAAAGCCACACTATCGATTCGTCCCCTCGGGTCTATCACTCCTAGTCCCCCTTGCTCCCTTGGTGTGTATATCAGGTCTCCACTCCAGAGCCTGAAATGCCGCTCCGTGTCTGCGTGATTACCGAACACAAAGTTTTCAATCAGCTTCTCTACCCTTCGCCACAGCAGGTCGTCCGGCGGGTACACCTGTGCTTGAAAGAGGAAAATTGGCAGGACGTAACTGTTGATAATGGTCAAGCGTGCTCCAGTCGTAAGATATTTGGTGCTCCACTTGCTTAACTCTCCTGCCGCTCTGTCAAAGGCCTTTTCCCACGTTACCTCCGTGTTCCCCCCGGTTGATATCCACACTCCAAGAAGCCTTTCTACCTCATTCTCCCCCACCCACTTGTATCCCATTCCGTCTGGTGCCTGTTGCCCCACGTTCCTTCCCAACGGCAGGACCGCAGACTTCCCCGTGTTCACTCTAAGCCCCGACACCTCCGCGTACTCTTGCAACAGTACACCCGCATCCTTCAACTGTTGCTCCCCTTCCAGCAACAAGGTCGTGTCGTCTGCATAACCCACATATGACAACCTGTCGCAGCTTCCTTCTCCGATTCCCAGCTTCCTCTCCTCTGCCAGCCGGCTCAGCTGCTCCACCGCGCACAAGAAAAGGTACGGCGCTAGTGGACAACCTTGCTGCACCCCTTTCCTCATCGTGATTTGCTCTCCTACCCACCCATTTACACACAGCCTTGTGTGTACGTTGCTGTGCAGGGCCTCTATCCACCGTACAAACCGCGGGGGGAAACCCAGCTTGGCGACCGTTTCCACCATGAAGCCTCTGCGCACTGAATCGTACGCCTTCTCAAAATCGATCAGAAGTAGGTACCCGGCACTGTTTTCGTTCCGGGCTGCTTCAATCATGTCAGCCACCATCGACACCCGTTAACCTCCTTTCGGGTAAGAAATCGTACTGCTCCTTTGAAATCACCTGTCCCAGCACTGCCTTCATCCGCGTCGCCACCACTTTCGCCAGGAGTTTGTACACTCATGAAAGCAACGTGATCGGCCTGTAATTCCTGATATCCGTTTCTGCACCCTTCTTGTACAACAGTATGGTGACCGCCTCATTTGCCATTTCCGGCAGCTTCCCTGTCGCGGCGAACTCCCCTACCATCTTCATCACCGGCTCCCGTAGCAGCTCCCAGTGCCGCTGAAATAACTCCTTAAGCAGCCCGTCCCGTCCCGGTGACTTATCATTGGCCAGCTCTTTGAGCACATGCTTAACCTCCTGCTCCAACCAGTCCCTCGTCAGACTTTCTGCAGACACCTCGTCCAGCGTCTTCCTCAGCGACCATTCCAGCCTCGGCTCGGTAGTGCCCGCTGGCGCCTCATCTAAGGCCTCCCTAAAATGACAGGTAGCCGCCTCCAGTATTTTCCGTACTTTTGTGTGGCTGATCCCATTCCTCACCAGTTCCTTTATCCCCATTTTTGCTTTCCTGCTCTTGACCAGCGCCGTCGGAAAACTCGTTGGTGCTTCCCCTTCCAGATGCACCTTGAGCCCAGTCCGTATCTGCAACAGATTCCTCCTCCCATCCCAATACCTTTGCAGCATCGCTTCACGGTTGGACAATAGAGCTTGCACCTCGTCATCGTAAGGGTCAGCCATCGCCTTGTGTTGTAACAGTTCCACTTGCTCCTCCAAAGTACTCCTCGTATGCTTTACCCGTCTTCTCTCCTCTTTGTCGTATTTCCTCAGTTGCGCTGCCAAACTCCTTGACAACCTGTCGAAGTCTCTGCTTCCTCCTTCGCGGTGTCTCTGAACCACCTCCGCAATTGCCTTCGCTACGCCTGGTCGCTTCAACAACCTTGTTGGGAACCGCCATAACCCCGGACCTGACTCTCGCGGACCCCTCCATCCAAGCCGTAACTTCACCGCAAACTTATGATCAGTGATCCCCTTTGGTATCTTCTTGTGTTTCACCCGCGCCACCAGGTGCAGCATGGATTGAGATACCAGCACCATGTCTATCCGCGAGCTGACCTTTGCCGACTTGCAGTAGAAAGTAAACTGTCTCTCATCCGGATTCAACTCTCGAAACGCATCCTTTGCATGGAAATCCGCTAACATCTGCATCATACGGCAGTTATCTCCTGTCACCCCCTGCCTATTTGACTTGTCCACTATGGGATCCGCGATCATGTTGAAATCCCCTGCCACCACAAGATCCTCTCCCCTTGGCTGACTCTCCGTGACATCCTTGAAGGCGGTCCCCAGAAAACTTCTCCTCGGTGGCGGCTGCGCTAGGAAATACACTGCCAGCACCCGCAACAACCTCGTCCCCCACCGTAACCGCGCATGCAACAACCTTCCTGAAGAGTGACCCTGAACATCCTCTATCTCCCCGTCCTTGAAGCTCAGAATGGCCAAACCACCCGCCCTGGTAGGTGCTGCCACCGCGGCCATGCTGCTGGTCTGCAGTTCGGTCCAGAAGTTATGGTCTTCCGCTATCCTTGTATCCGCCATGATTACTACATCTGCAAATGTTCTGATCCATCGTTTCACGGCTTGCTGCTTTCCTAGGCTTCCCAGGCCGTTGACATTCAGGGACAGAACAGTTAGCCGATTGGTGTAATCCATTATTCAACCTCTGTCGTGGCCCCCACGCATCCACAGGGCGTTGATACAACAGCTCACAGTGACTCATTACACCCATAGATACATCATATGTTGCAACTCCACCTACACCTAATTCCTCTTCGTGCCTTCTCTACTGCGCAGCTTGCGAACACTCCCTCCACTGCAGGACTGAAACGATCCCTTACACACCAAACACCTTCTTTGCCGCAGCCAGGTTGACCCCTGCCTTGGAGCTGCGTGTCGCCAAGCCTGACACCAAGCCGTCGCTGTGCCGCTGGGAAACCACATGCTCCGCTGCCTGTGTGAAAGACACCCCGTTCGCTTTCTCGCAGTTCTCTTGGACACAGATCCACTCCTCGCGATTCCCCCCAGTTGAGATCAACACCACGGCAGGGTCCTTCAGAATGAGCCTGGTCAGATCTGTGATCCTGACTGAGGCGGCTCCGCGGAGTCGACACACCCACAACATTAGCACCGCAACACCGTGGAGACGACGAGCAAAAAACAAGCAGATAAGTCAAAAACTCCCCTCATCCATTACCATTGATCCCATGGACCCGTCCCAGCGACAGGCTCCAGTTGCTGATGTTGTTCTGTCTGTCCATCACATACACATCATGGTACCTCGTCATATGATACCCCGAACAGTAGGCACAGTTTAAAGAGGGGTAGTGCACTAGTAGCTGCTTATCATGAGAGGTCAGATCTTCGATCATATGGCGCCAATGGTACTTGTCCCCCTCATGCTGTTTAACCAGCCCCTTGACCTTATTAGTGTCCATCCCTGTGACAGGATTCACCACACGATGAAAACAACTCCCTTCCTTGAAAGCCGACTGGCCGCGTTTTTCCAGCTTCACCTTCACCAGCATATTGCAGAGCATTTCCGGTGTAATCACCGCGTCCACCCCCTTAAACAGAACTTCAACCAGCAGCGGGTCAGCCGCACATGCCTTCATGTAAGCCGGATCCACCAAGTGCTGCCAGTCCAAGTTGATCCGCTTCCCGTCAACACAGGTATGCACAATCCCGTGCTTCCACACGAAGTTGGCATCACGAGCCCGGTCAAAGGTAACATGCAGCCTCCAGTACTGCTTCTTATTCAGAAACAACGCCGCCAGCTCCTAAAACTTTGTCGTTGCCTGAATCTCCATATTCAGGTCCTTCTTCCACAGATTGAAGAGCGCACGGAGCGTCGCCTGCACACGCGTGGTCCCCGACATAAAGGCAATCGGGATCCGCAGAACAATGGCGAAGCGAATCCGCTGCGCGACTTCGCGCTTTGCCTGCGCATCGTAACATTCTTCTGGATCATCACTGAGGTAATCGTCATCCTCCTCATCATCGACAGCCTTTGAAGAAATGTTTAACGCTGCATCCTTTCCTGCTTCCAGGGAAACGCCAGTACCACCGCTAGTAACCGCGGGCTTAACACCACGTCAGCTTTCCGCCATTGCCAGCGTTAAGCAAGTCGCGAACCGCCTCCCTCACTTCGTTCGTCGACCCAGCAGGCTGAAGAGCTTCCTTATCAGCTTCCGTGAACAAGTCAGCCGTACGCTTAACAACCGAAGTAGCAGAAGCATCAACGACCACCGGCATCTCCTTGTCCAAGGAAACACTAGCAGTGCTCTCATTGTTGTGGACTCCCCGGTCCTGGTTGCCATCCTGGACATAGTGCAATGATAACACGGTGTGAACTGGAAACCTCCTTGAGGTAAAAGCCACTGTCTGAGCACAGTGCTAGCACCATCGTTAGCGGTATTTGTAGACTTGAACTAGAACCTCCTTGAACACGGTAGCCTTGAAAAAAGCTTGCTCCTGTAATCCGATTGTGCATAGCTGACCAATGAAACGAGGGTCTGAAATACTCGCTGGGCCCCTTGTTGACGATTAAATGAACAGGTGTCACTCCTGGACTTTGACGCGCTGAGCAGCCATGGAGAGTAACGAGAGACGTTGGAGTTAGTAACTGATGTGGAAACGGAACCCCATATAGGTACAATGTCCGTCAGTTAGGCACGAAAAGTGTACCAAGAGCTTCGTAAGAACGAGGCGGTTCCGAATCTATGATCAATGTTACCAACAGACACATGGCCTTTACGAACAAGCTCCTTAAAGCCGTCAGGCGGAATCCATGGCGGAGCTGTCATTGTCATTGTCATTACGCTCCCTTGACGTGTCAGAAAAGTGATGCCATGGGAATCCGTGGTCAGATTCATGTTGCTTACGTGGCCACTCGGGCCAACACTGCTGATATATTCACCAAGGCACTTCCGCTTGGTGATCATCAGCGTTTCTGTACTGCTTTAGGCCTTGTGCCTGCTTCGTCTCACTTGCTCACTGCGTGACTTTGCTTGTACTGTGATCTATATATATTCCTGCATGTTTACTCTTGCTAGGTAGTGAGCACTCTACAGTTTGCTCTCTTTTATATAACTCTGCATGTGAACTGGCCTTGTGGCCATTTGCTTGTGCTCAGAATGTGTGGTGACTTCTGTTAGAATGTCTAGGCAAGAATGGTTGCATTGAAAGAGGGTTGGGTACAAGTCGCAAACCCTAGAGGGATTGTACCCCATATTGGCTACCCCACTACAGCCTACACAAGTATAACATATATAGTTTGACACACCCCCATAGGCAAAGTGGGAGAGAACAAGGGGTCACAAGGCCAGTCCAGAGAAGCAAAGCAAGCTCAGGGTGGATCACAACGTCACCACACACTCTGAGCACAAGCAAAGGGCCAGAAGGCCAGTTCACATGCAGAAGTATATATGCAACAAGAACAGCACAGTGATCTCTACCTAGCAAGAGCAAGCATGCAAAAATATATAAATATGGAGATCACAGTACAAGCAGAGTCTACAGCAAGTGTGGAAACGTAGGCACAAGGCCTAACAGGGTACAAAAGCGCTGATGATCACCAGACGAAAGCGCCTTGGTGAATATATCAGCAGTGTTGGCCCGGGTGGCCACGTGAGCAAGGCGAAGCTGACCCCGCTGCTGCAGCTCTCGAGCCAGGAAGTAACGCAGAGCGATGTGCTTCGTTCTGTGCTCCAGTCTGTGCTCCTCGCACAAGGCAATGGCGGCCTTGTTGTCGACGTACAGCACTGGAGGAGAACGAGGCCGCTCTCCCAGGTCAGTCAGCAGGTAAGTGAGCCAGCGTAACTCCTGTGCAGCCATGGCTGTGGCGTAGATCTCAGCCTCACAACTGGAGCTGAGAACAGAAGACGAGCGAGTAGAACGCCAAGAAACAGAATCAGAGCCAAGGCTGAAAGTGTAACCCTGTGACGACCGCTGTGTAGTCTGGTCGTCAACCCAAGAAGCGTCCGAGTGCCCAGTGAGAACCACGTCTCTCTGCCCTCCAAGCACGAGCCCCATGCCCGACGTACTGCACAAGTAGCGCAGTACCCTCTTCGCAGCATCCCAGTGCACCTTTCGGTGTCGACCAGGAGCCACGTAACGGGCCAGAAGGCCAAGAGGGTACGCAAGGTCAGGACGAGTGCAGGTCATCAGGTACATGAGGCAGCCCACTAACTCTGGGTAAGGACCACTCGGCTCTACGGACTCGTCCGAAGGTGGAGCTGAGAGCGAGTGACCTGTAGCCAGAGGAGTGGACTGTGGCGAGGACCAGGTGAAGCCGAAGCGCTGAAGGACCTGCTGCACCATGTGTGACTGAGTCAGAGTGATGGTGCGGCGTGCTCTGTCGCGGGTGATCTGCAAGCCAAGGTAGTTGCGCACCCAGGTCTGTGCACGTGTGTCGCTTCTGCAGCTCCGACTTCACCAGGGCGAGAGCCTCAGTGTCAGCAGTGGCAAAGACCAAGTCGTCGACGTACACGAGGATGTAGAACGGCGGCAGCAAAGTGTCGGTGCGCAGAAACAGCGACGAGTCAGCAGTCGAAGGAGCAAACCCAAGAGCCGCAAGTGTCGTCCTCAGTGTGTTGTGCCACTCACGAGGCGCCTGGCGGAGACCGTAGACTGGCCGCCGGAGGCTCCACTGGGTACCAGGCGGGAACGACCCAGTGAATCCAGGTGGGCGGCGCAGCCAGATCTCCTCGTGCAGGCTGCCCTGTAAGAAGGCTGTGCTGAAGTCCAGTGAGTGAAGCTCGTAGTCACGCTGAGCGGCAACGTGCAGCAGCACCCGAAGAGTGGTCATCTTTGGGGTGGGGGAGAAGGTCTGGAAGAAGTCGACTCCCTCTCGCTGACTGAAGCCTCGAGCAACGTAACGAGCCTTGAAGACAGGCGGAGAACCTGGCGGCCGCTTCACCCTGAAAATCCACATGACATCAACGATGTTCGCCCCTGGAGGGGGAACCTCATCGACGTAAGTGCCTGTGGACTTCCAGGATGCCATCTCTGCGTCCATGGCTGTCTGCCACTGAGAGGAGTAGGGGCCCGCGATCGCCTCAGCGTAAGAGCGCGGGGTCGGGATGTCTATAGCATCCGGGTCTCCCTCAGGAGCAAGCAGCATGGCCACGAGATGAGGCGCAGCGGCCGCAAGACACTCAAGGTCCTCCTGCCTCTCCTCAAGGACGTCCGTGCCAAGAGCATACTCACCCCCGACGGACGGAGGACAGACAGACTCAGACTCAGCAACTAGACCGGCAGCGTAGTCTAGATGACAGGCAGCAGCAAAGTCGACAAGCTCAGCGACCAAGGCAGACGCAACAGCAGACTCAAACGACGGGTCAGTGACAACTGTGGCTAACAGACGCGTGACAGTAGGGTGCTCAGCACGAAACCGGTCAGACTCAGGGTCCGCAACGTCAGGCAGAGAGGACGCAGGAGGAGACGGCAGAGGAACAGACTGCGGAGCAGAGAAAGGACGA